GTTACTGACTTACTAATACTGGTATTTTTTTATTAATAACTTCCTCTTTCAATATTGGTAACCAGATCCTACTACATTCTGCCGAGGAATTTGCGACACAATTGGCCTCATTTAGCATAATTAGAGCCGCTTCTTTGATTTTTCTTTTTTTACAATCCGTTTAGGAGGTATCATCATTTAGGAATTTGTCCAACAACTCTGATCCATGAGGCCATATTGAGAATACATCATCTACATACCTCCACCATACTGTGGGTTTGAAATTTTGTTTAGAAATGATATTTTTTAATGAAAATTCGTTCTTGGAGGAGAAACATTTGTTAACATCTGTTTTATTAAAAAATGATTATCCTTTATCGTTTATAAATAAGGAATTTTCAACAATCGATCGAATAGAACAGAACAACTTAGAACGAGATCCTACAGCATACACAAGGAATAATATGAGGAAAATAACAATACCGTACATAAAAGGACTATCAGAAAAACTTAAAAGGATAGGAAATAAATTCAACATTTCAACAACATTCAAAACTACAAACACGTTGAGATCTATTTTGTCCAAAATCAAACCTAACAATGAACAAGAAAGGACAAAGAATTGCATTTATAAAATACGTTGTGAATGCGATCAGTTTTATTTAGGTGAATCATCAAGGCCATTGAATGTTAGAATAAGTGAACATCAATCTTATATTAAAAATAAAGAATTTGATAGATCTCAAATCTGTAAACACGCATGGGATAATGAACATAGGGTTCAATGGAATAATTCAAATGTAGTCCTAAAAGAAACGGATGGTAAAAAAAGAAAAATCAAAGAAGCGGCTCTAATTATGCTAAATGAGGCCAATTGTGTCGCAAATTCCTTGGCAGAATGTAGTAGGATCTGGGATCTGGTTACCAATATTGAAAGAGGAAGTTATTAATAAAAAAATACCAGTATTAGTAAGTCAGTAACATATAGAGGATACATCATTTATGTGTTTTAAATATCGTAACATATAAAATCAGAATTTTGATGTTTGTTGAAGGTAAACTAAATTCACGAACAAATACTTACAATGTCGGGATAGTATTATGAGGTTTTTTCCTGGTTTTCCCTCATAATTTACTATGGAATCACTAACAGGAGAATTTTACTGTCATCATGTCATGTGTTTGTCTTTTTAAAGACGAATTACATGCTATGATTTTTTTCTGACGGATATTCTCAAGTTAAAGTTGATTTCATGTAATCGAATGAACTATCTTATAAGTAAAGTCGTCCCAGGAACGCAACTCAACAATATTGGCAATATCATTTTAAAGTCGTCTACTTTAAAATGCATAATGTATGTCTGAATTGTCAATATAAATGAGTCAGATAAAATTAAATTATTAGAAGAATTTTTCACTATGTAACAAAAAACAAAATTTGTTTAATTTACTGTTTGTATTTTGAGAACGATTTCCGAAGTGGAAATTGAAACGTCAATAAACGTATTTTTATCTTTAATTGTGGCTTATTCCCAGTTTAATAGTGATTAATTTAGAAATTCCGATGTCAAAAGACAACTTTGAGGCAGAATTAAGTATAATTAAGCAAATAGCAGTAAACAACGGATACAACGAACAAACAATTAATAAAATGTTAAATCAAAAACTAGACAAGAAAGCCCTGAAAATAGTATTTCCACCACCAGAGAGAAAACCCAGTACCTTCTGCTCGATTACATATACAGGCAAAATAACAACAAAAATTGCCAAACACATAAAAAAGAAAGGAATAACACCAGCTTTCCGAACAAATAACAACTTAGGTAAATATATTAAAAATAACAAGAGCCAAAATAAAAAACACTTAAATAGTGGTGTGTATAAACTTCAAATGAGCAGACTGCCCAAAAACTTATATCGGTCAAACAGGTAGAAACTTTGATAAACGAATAGCAGAACATAAAAGAGCTTTCAAGAATAGAAAAACGGATTCGACATACGCACTTCACCTTCTAGATCATAATCATTCTTTTAATGACAAATTTAAAATTCTTCACATTCAAAATAAAGGCATTAAGCTATCTTTGTTAGAATCTATGGAAATCAACAATTTAAAAAACACAGATATATTTCTGAATGACCAACTTGAGACAAACAGTTCTCCTCTCCTCAACTTATTTCATTAGAGACTATAAAATTCTAAACCCAAGCCAAAAATAGATCACTTTAGAAAGGCTATCAGCCGAAACTGCTGTAGTGATAATAGTTACAATAAATTTTGTGAAAGTTTGAAAACAAAGTTTTCAGTGTTTTATTGTTACATAAAATTTGAGTCTCTTTCCAAACTCTGTCAACTGATGCTCTTATATTCTTGATTTTCATGTATTCAATATCTACACCAATATCCTGTTTTAAACATGTTTGCATTAGATCGCAAGTATTTCCTGCAACCTTTGTTATTTATCTACTTGAAACATTAGTAATTAATTTTAACAGTAGCTTAATTGCAGCTTCCTATTTTGTTTCCCATTCTAAATGGGTTTTAGGTCTTACGCTTTTACCACCTAAGCAATATTTAGATCATAATGTAGAAATCATCAATAATAGTACTTATCAAACATCAGTACTTACTCTTAGCTTCTAGTATAGATCATCTATAGACACTTCTTGACAGTATCGTTTGGAGGTATAAAGAAGTAGGTATAGATCTGAATTTACAGAAAACCAAAATACTTCGTAATACCTAAACAACAGAATATAAAACCATATGCGTATGTAATTAGCACAAAGCTTGAGCAGGTTGACCAAATTGTTTACCTCAAATATCAGTTAAGTTGTAACTCGGAGAATTATGGTCAAATTAAATCATGAATTAAGCAGACCATAACAACTTTCAGAAGGATGTCCAAAGTATAATGTAGCCTAAATTGTCATCTCGGATCCGCCAACTTCACTGCTATGTATTCTCCGTGTTTTTAGTTTATAGTGGCGAGTTTTGGACTGTAAATAAAAGTTATCTGAAATGCCTTGAGGCTTTCGAAATGTGGTGTAATAGAAGATTTGTAAAAGCTTCGTGGGTAGAGAAGTTTTAAATTTTACAATTCTACAGCGTCTTAGCAAGACCACCGAGATTATAGAAAACATTAAAAAGAGAAAACAGAAATATATTGGTAAAAAAAAGTTCCAAATATAGGTTGATACAAAATAATATGCTTCTTTTATAACTTGCCTATACCATAGTGATGGCAACAAAGTAGTCAAAAAGACGTATGTACAGTTGCCTTCCGTCGATATATCTATTTTGTTTTATTGATTTCGTGTTTGAGAGACATGCTATTACATTGTACCTTTAGTATTTGCCGCATACAGGAGCCACATTGCTCCTGTAGTGATCCTTTCTCAAGTTACCATGCTCCTTTTATATCTTAGCTGCATCGTACTGATGACGACCAAAGTCAGAAATACGCATTTACTGTTATAGGTAGTGTAAATACTCCTGACCATGGAGCTGCGCGTAGCCGGAGTCAAAATTCACGTAAAGGGAGAAAGGTTCCATTGTAAGTGGAATAATACAGTGCATAGTACAATGCGTTTCGCATGGAAGTGGGGACTTCACCAAATTTCGTCTACTGCACCGTGGTCAGGAGTGCTTCCACTATCTCTACCTTCCTTCTGTATACCTATTTTGTTTTTTGTTTGCAAGATACCGCATCACATTTTATCTTTATTAATCACTCACATTGAATTTTTCTATTAGCTTTAAATGTTTTAACGTTTGGTATTATTTTTCTAAGGTATATGTAGCTTCCTCCATGAGTATCGTTAGTTGTTACCCTGGAATTAATCAGGATCTTCCAACTCTACTGCCAAAAATTGGTTGCATTGCTTCTGTAGTGATTATTTCTCAAGTTAACATAATCTCTTTGTAACTGGGCTGCACCGTACTGATAACAACCAAATGCAATGCTACCTTCTTTCTATATACCAACTTTATTTTTTGTTTTCTTGTTGTTTTTCCTAATATCTTCATTCATATTTTTCATATTAAAAATAGACGCTATTTTGTAAGAAAGTTTTAAATAGGGTTAAAAAATTTGAATTGTTTCGGTATAACCAAAAGTAGCTTAAGACGACCTTTAAAAATGTTATTAAGTTTTATGTAATTTCAACAGACCAACTCTTAAAATATCTGCTCTGCGTTTTGCCGCAATTTTATAATTATGCTAATGCTTGTGCTAATAATAGAATAATAATGGTAATTTTTATATATTTATTTATATGGTAAATGCTGTTTTGAAACGAATTTAGTTTTAGTACTATTTATTTGGACTCAGTATGAGCCATTATTTTTCTACCACTTTTACGAATAAAACTAGCTGTGTTCTAATTTACTCTTTATTTGTTTCATGTCTGATTATCGAAAGCTTAGACAAGGAAAGAGGGGGGACGCGTAATTGTATGGAATTAACTGAAGCCAAACCGGTACCAGAAATGTTACCAGGTCATAATTAATATCTTCAGTAGATTGAGAATACTAAATATATATATCAATAAATAGATTTTTTTTTAAATTTATAATTGAACACTCATATAATGATTACTTTTGAACATGCTTTTATCATTACATATTTTTTATTAGATCGATATAGCGTTTCAATAAATCAGTAATTTTAAGTTGTAATCAGTAGATCTACTAAAAAATAAGTAGACCTAGTAACCGTGCGAGAGATAGTAATGGGCAACGTCCAGGCACCAAAACATGGCGGTCATATCGAAACTGGCTTCATTTTGCGAAGGTTTATTATATGAGTGTTATTTGCCCTCTCTCTCTTTTTTTAAGATTTAAGGTTAAGTAAACAAAGTCACGTTTCAACGGAAACTATTTATTTGTTGTCAGCTTGTTGTTATTATATCACGCACAATTAATGAGTTCCAAAGTCTTGTATTAGAATACACATAAAATAATTATTTTTAAATGGGTTTTTAATACTTTTATTCCGTTTCAGGCAAAGCTTCGCAGAATGGTAGAAGAACATTCCACAGATCTTACCTCTCGGATAGAATCCGATTACCCTAATTCTAGTCCTGCCGCTATACCCAGCCCCGCTTGCACTGCCCATGAAGCAAAAGTAGTAGAAACCCTCCCTGTGGCTTGTGTTGGCCCAATTGATGTAAATTTCCTCAAACCAACGCTTGGCGAAGACAAAGTTATTGATTGTGATGTAGATCTTAAGTATTCTAATGATAATAAGAAAAACAATAAGTCTAATAGACCAAATTCTATCGAAACTAAAAGAAGTAAGTCCCTGTCAGTAGAAAGTTCAGAAGATATTAGTAAAAAAGATATTAAGAAAACCCGGTCAAATCCATTAAAGAGCGAGGATTCAATTGCAGACAACGAGAAAAGTATTGATGACACCAAAGAAATAGAGATGACCGTTGAAGAAAATATAGCTACTGTTTTGAAAGGAAGCAGATCTTCACTAGAGACCCGATCAGATTCCCCAAAACCAGGATGTAGCAGTCAACCGGATATAGGTCTGTACCTACTTAATGTTTATATGATATGTTGCATATAGTTAATTGATAGGTATTTTAAGATTTTATAATGTTTTGTAGTATAATCTTTTAAGTAACTAAGGTTAGGCTGATTAGTTAACTCGTCACAGTATTTTTAAATTGGACTTTTATAAATATTTTTCTTCGTGTACAATTTCATTTATTTCAAACACATCTTTTATCTGAAGACCCATCAAGTGTTTTGTATTATAACAATACTAAAGTGTATTTAGGCAGTTTACATTATAATATAGATTACAAGAATCAAAAAGATTACGAAATACTAAATAAACATAAAAACTCATTGAAATAGAGCTATCATAAAAACAGCATCCCTTGTGCATGAGACTCAAAAATATATTTTTAAACAAAAAAATATTTAACAAATAAAATAGAATAGAATAGAAATATGCTTTATTGTCAAAAAAAAACAATAACAATTTAAAATTTTCTGAAATTACATAGATCGTCAATATCACAAAATAAAAGATAATAAAATACACAATTCATTCCAAATTTAAATAAATTGCAAATTGCATAATAAAGCCTCACGAACTAATAAGTTTAAGTTACCGCATGTGCTACCTAAATACACACATCAAAATAATCTAGGGGACAAAAACAAAATGCGAGATTACAGAAGTCTTTCAAATAATTTATTTCATATATTTTTAACAAAAAGTTATAAACAAATGTCCCGAATATAAAATAAACATTTTTTCTTAGAATTATCGCAATAGGTCGTAAGAAAATTAAAAAAAAAATCGATAAGGCAAAAAATGGTTACAAAAAAAAATAAAAAACTAATTTGTTGCACCTCAACTCATAACAAAGGAGTCTTTAGGTTAAGTTAGTACAGTGTATGACCTTCACGGTTGTTGATTACTATCCTACTTCTGTAATTTAAACTTATGATCAGATGGTCAAAGTCTTGCTGTGGTATTCTGTTCCACTCCATTGAAGACCCTCAAATAGTTGCTGTCTTCTATTGAAACCAACATTTTGTTGTAAAATGTGTCTGCCCAATATGTCCCATACATGCTAAATCAAGTTTAAATCTGGAGATTGTGCAAGCTTTGGTAAAACCTTGGTTTCAGTATCTTCGAGTTCGCACGACGCTGGCAGTATGCAGACGCGCATTGTAGTGCAATTATTGAAAAATAAGGACCAGCTTTTTGTACAATAATAGGTTTGAGTATAATGTCTCGTGTATTTAGAAACCATTCCAGACAAATGAGATTAGTTATTCCCCCAAGAGTGATGCCACCCCATGCCGCCTTGTTGTCTATGAACCTTCTACACGGTGGCAATCATTTAGCATTGTCACATTGTCTGCAACTTCCTGTCCACCTTGTATTTGGTGGAAATCCAAATCAGGACTCATCTGTGAACAAAGGATAGGCCCACTTACGTCTAATCCAATTTGCGTTGTCTTGTGCCCACTGATGTCGATGAGCGCGATTTGCTCTGAATAACACAGGCACTTTCACAGGTCTTCGAGCATTTAGAGCATTGCATGAACCCTACTTCATGCAATTTATTTTTAATGGTTTGGCCACTTACAAACACCTGATAAATCTGTTGAAGCATAATTTGTAATTGTAATGCAGTTACAGTGCGATCTCGCAAAACCTGCAATCTAATACAATGGGTTTTTAATTTGGTTGGTTCGTTACAACCTATATGACGTTCAGCAACATCGCCAGTTTCTTGACACCTTCACCACAAATGATAAATGACACTTCTGTTCGTGTGAAGGACCTCAGCAACGTCTCTTTGATTTCTGCCAGATTCAAGTATCCCCATCATAGCACGCCACTGCATTTTGCGATTTAAATGATGTCTCTTTATTATAGGCAATTGTAAAACTAAATAAAAATCCACATAAAAATAAAAAATTAAGTCTCAACAATTAAATATTACTTTTTATCTCATAGACAAAAAACGCATTTTGAACTCTTGTTAAATTTTTTATAACCATTGGTTTTTAAAACAGATTGTCTTATAGCACCACAATCGCAGTTTGGAGAGGGTATTTTTCCCCACCAGATTCATCTTGGTTGGTAGAAACCCTCTGACTTCTCGCAATCTACTGGCCTTCTTAAAATTCCTTTCAATTAAACTTTATAATATAGAGTATTGTTTTTTGAACAAAGTCTTCTTATACCTCTGCAGGTGACACCAACGTGGAAGTAGAGTATAGGATCAACGTTAATTTTTCTATACTCCCTAACAAGGGCAAGTTCTTGGCGGGTGTATGAGGTGCTATGTGGCTTAGTGCTGGTAGTCAGTACGTGGGCGTGGACTTTACTGTGCCCGATATAATACATAAAACTTGGTTTAGTTGGTCGTCAACACGTTTGGTCTGCGGGCTGTTGAGCCACACCGATGCACAGTACTTTGCAACGGGCGACACGAGTCCCAGTACTGTCGATCTAAGTGTAGACGCTAAGGAACTTAATCTAATATTTTGCAAATATTGAATTAATTTCGTATCACTTTTTTGTGTAATATTATTTATATCAATAATAGAATGCAATTCCATTTTTCAGGAAAAGCAAAACATAAACTAAACTTGTTTTGACAATTTATAAATTTCATCCAGAGATGTTTTGACTTATTTAATTACATATATCACTTAAAATGTTTTTAAACTGAAATAAATCTACGACAAAAATTGGCAACCTCGCACAGTCGGTGTCAAATTTTAATACAAATATAATTAAAAGGTTAGTAGTAATATTTAAGTTTATTTTATAAAAATATGTCTCAAATTAACGTGCCTAATAAACGGACCGGCACCAGCACAAGATTGATAACAAGGCAATCTTCCTGAATCCATCTAAAGTGTTATAGGCGGATGCAGCATGTTTAAGAAAAAATGGTGTGTATAATTTACATAATAATTGTCGCATATGGTGTGACGAGAACAATTATTTAATACGTGCGACAAATTTTCAACGAAAATTTAGCATAAATTTAGGGACTGGAATATTAACTGTACAGTTATTTGATTTGAACAGTAAATGAAGAGGCATAGTAAAAGAAATATGGTTTCTTCACGACGGAGTCATAACACATTTTACCAAAACTGTTAAAATTTTCTTGATACCAGTTATTCTCGTCGTTAGATTCGTAGGAATGTATCCATTCTATGGCCACCACAAAGTCTCGAATGTAGTGTACTGGATTTTTATTTTTGAGGATATCTGAAATCGTTGGTTTGTGATAACCGAGATGCAATCAAAACATAAGCTTAATTACGGGAACGAATTTTTGATGCTGCAGAAAATATGGCATTACTCACAATTGGATTTATCGTATCAATGCAAGATGCACGTTAAACATTCATTTTAATAAATATTCTCAAGTAAGTACAAGTATCTAATTTAATTTTAGTTCACAAGTAAACAAATTAGGACTAATAGTCCGACCATAGTGGAAAAACATTAATTAGAATTATTGAACGTTGTCTGTTGTATTTAATTTCCACTAAAAAATATGTTATTCAGTTAAAGCTCTCGTCATTGAACACTTTTAAGGTTAATAAACACATAATAAATAATAACACATAATAATAATAAAATTATGCCATATTTCAATACATTTCAAAAAAATATTGCAAATAATTTTTCTTAGTAGCAATAATTACTTTTTTGGAATTAAACTATAGTACTTACTTAAGTAAATATAAAAATTTATTTTAAGCTTCGGACTTTATTCCAAAACCCTAATTAATTCAGATAATAGCAAAAGACCAGAAATAGTTATTGCAAATATTACCTATATTTCCTCAGATGTCAACAACCTTGAATAGTTAACAAACAAGGGTTGGTATGTTAAACATCCCAAGTCACAAACGAGTTTTTATTCAGGAGCGGTTTCACTGCGCATAACGTTGCCAGAATATTTAAATTTCTGAAAATCAACAAATTACATTTATGGAAAACAATGTAGTTTTTTTTGGAAATACATTTTTTTTTGGAAATTGTGAGTCGAATTTTTTGTTTCATATTTTGTATTATATCCATACCTTAGAGTAACGTAGCACTATTTACGGGGACACCCTGTATATATATATATATATATATATATATATATATATATATATATATATATATACAAATAACACAGTTTATTAGGGTTGCAGTCAGAAAATTGGCCGGGATGTTAAAAAAAACACTCTTTTGACTTTTTTGTAGAGCTTTCGGAATGGTTTTATTCCTTTTTCAAGACACTGTAATAAGACAAATATGTAAATATTTAAAAAATATCACAATTCTTCAGTTTAACTTACTAGTCGTTGAGATTATTTATATAAGCATGGACACTCAACATTTATAACACACATTAAAATATACAATTATGGACAGAATACATTATAAAATTTTTAAAATTTATTGTAAAAATAGTAACTTTATGAGTTGATATACACCAGTAAAACGTGCCATCAACCAAGTTTTACTATTTTTACAATAAATTTTAAAAATTTTATAATGTATTCTGTCCATAATTGTATATTTTAATGTGTGTTATAAATGTTGAGTGTCCATGCTTATATAAAGAATCTCAACGACTAGTAAGTTACACTGAAGAATTGTGATATTTTTTAAATATTTACATATTTGTCTTATTACAGTAGTGTCTTGAAAAAGGAATAAAACCATTCCAAAAGCTCGACAAAAAAGTCAAAAGAGTGTTTTTTTTAACATCCCGGCCAATTTTCTGACTGCAACCCTAATAAACTGTGTTATTTGTTTATATCGACAGTTACTAATATCCAGTATTTCTTATATATATATATATATATATATATATATATATATATATATATATATATATATGTATATATTTATATTTCTTTTCATAGATGTCTTGAAAACGAATTAAATTAAATTCGAAAGCTTGACAGTAAGTCAAAGAGTTTTCTTTGTCTTGTGGGCCAAATAAACTGACTGCATCCTCAAAAATTATAACTT